TTTGGAACGGAGGGAGTATGATTTTTTAGACGTATAGTGCAAGTACAAGTCTCAGTTCCACATATTGTTCTAAAAGTTACTGTATAATGGCCTACTTTGCTGCTAGACATGTTGCAAGTAAAGGGTGTTCTCACACCATTATACTTTAAGTCAAAAACACAAAAGGCTCACAGAAAAACTTACTTCAGTTATTGACCCTTGGTCTTGAAGAGAAGGAAAGGATCTACTGACAAATTAACAAATAGCCAACAGAAAAATGGTAGGGTGAAAAACGGCGCGGCAAGGCGTGCATATGCTTCTAGTAAATATTAAAGTTGTCGAAATGAAATTATCAACATAAATAATGAGAAGGAGATTCAAGACAAATTATAAGAGAACACAAATTTATTAATATAACTTCCAACAATCGAGAAAACACATGGCCATCTAGCTTTTTCTAATGCATAATTCATATCCAGCTTCTAAAATAATAATATATCACAACCTCTTGCAATGGTCTTCAAAAACGAAATCACAATGCAGCAAACTCTGCACATAAAAAGATTAGTTGATTCAAAATACAATTGCAAAGTGGGATTTACAGCAGGGAGAATGCATCTAATCTGAAAACGGGGGTTCCACACCTGTACCAACATTCATGTTCATCCATAGCTTATATGCAGTTATGCTCAGCAAGTTCATCATACCACAACATCATGAGAAAATTCCTTATATAACACTGTTTTAAATATTGTTTCCCTATTTGACACTCGAAATTTCTTTCTTCCCTATCTAACAGTGTGTCTAAATTTTATTCCCTTTACGACACTTTCGTCCATTTTAAGCCTTAACGGTGTTAAATGACATCTGAAAAGTCCTATTTGCCCCTTATGAAGTATGTGACCAAAATTTAACCCCACTAGATGAAGCTTATATGGATGACCGATCCCCAATTTACTAGATTAAAAGTAATCAATTATTAGTCTTTGACAATGATAGAGCAGTAGGATAAAAGACGTACGTGATTGAAGCTAAAACGGAAGAACATAAGTACTACGTACTTTACCTCCTAGGTGACCGAGTAATTAAACAATGATTAGTTGGTTAGTATGTGCATGTGCTGACCGAGTAATGTGTTAGTGTTCACCCGCAAAAGAAAAGTACTTGTAATGTGTTAGTGGCCTAGGTTATAGTGCGTGAGTGGCAGAATATTAGGGCCAGCTTGTGGCTCGGCTGTGTGTGTGGGTGTTATGTATGGCATTTTAATTATTTTGGTTGTGTTAATGAGTGGAAGTGAAAAATGTAGGATATGTGTTTCCACTCGGAGAGAAAGCAAAGCTAGTTCTTTCCTAGGTGAAATGTACTCCCCCATAGGGAAATATAAGAACGTTGCTTAAAATAATAGTAAAAGCCAACAGCTGGCTTCGCCATTGCCGGCAAGTACGCTTACGTATTTGAATACCGTGCGCCGGACGGGCCGCGTACACATACATCTATGCATATCTAAATACCCGTGTGTACCCAGCTAAAGAAGAGGAGCTTAGTATCCGCAAGAAAAAAAAAGAGGAGCTGAGAAAGGTAATGGGCACGCGTCATGTACTTTACCTCCTAGACTCGCATCAACAGAAACTCACACATAAGGAGACGTCCCCGCAGCGGCACGTACAAAAAGGCTAAGCACTCGATCGATTTTCCATAGAAATTGGCTCACACGCATAGCAAAACGAGTTGGCTCGATACACACATACACGTAAAATTTTGGTCACATATCACATAAGGGGCAAATAGGTCTTTTCACGTATGATTTAACACCAGTAAGGCTTAAAATGGACGAAAGTATTATAAAGGGCATAAAATTTAAACTCGAAGTTAAATAAGGAATGAAATGTTTTTCAGTGTTAAATAAGGCAATAAATTTTAAAACAGTGTTAAATAAAGAATTCTCTCCAACATCATAGTGGACCTTGCCATCTTGCTGCATTGCTATCCTCTACCCAACCTCCTCAGTGATCATCACTATCCTAATATGCACATGTGGAAAGAAGAAAGTACACAGTGCCTGAAAAATAGTACTAGTTGGCAGTATAAAAAAACTTGATAGTTCTAAATATAATTGCAAAGTGGGGTTTACAGCAAAGACAATGTACCTAACCCGGAAATGGTACTTTCACATTCATCTTCATCTATACAGCTTACGCTGAACATGCTCATTGTGGCACAACATTATAGATAACCTATCATATGCTCAACCTCGTCAACAATCAGCATTATCCTCATGCGCACACATGGACAAGAAGATAGTACCTTTCACCGGGAAATAAAACTTGGCAGTTTGGAGTTCCGACTTCCAACATAATACAAGAGGATTATTAGCGCGTGGTGCTATTAATTTGGAAAAGATGATAGCCTCCAAAAGATGTCATAATTTTAAACATCAAATAAATTATAGGCTACAAATTGTTACATGGCATCTTCACGGGACATGGAGACAGGAACGCACCTGCCTCCTCCCGAGTCGCCCTCGTGTAGCGGCCGGGAGGCTCCTAGATCCCGTCGCCCGGCCTCCCCTCCTCCTCCTCCTCCTCCCTCGTCGCCGCCTGTGGGCGCGGCAGGGCGAAGCCTTGCCGTCGCCGGCGGCAGTGGGGACTCGGGGCCCTCCCGCTCGTGAGGGGCTAGCGCGGGCTGGCGCCCCCGGACCGGAGCGTGGTGTTCGGCCGGACGTCATGACGGGGGGTGGCGGCGCTCCGGCGACTCCATACCTCCACGGTAGGCGGCTTCAAGGTCTGAGGCGTCGCGGTCGTCAGGGACGGCGGCGGCGCGGCCGGATCAGGGCCCAGGCGTGGGCTTGGTCTCCGGGTCGCGGTCGGCGCGATGGCGGGTGCGGCACGTCGGCAGCTGGGCGGATCTGCGGATTCCATCCTTGTTTGGTCCTTGACAACGCGGGCAACTTCGAGGGAAACCCTAGATCTCCTTGGGATCGAGCGATGGCGGTGCTTTTGCGTCGTAGTCCCTCTTCAGGGCGTCGTTTTGGAATTTGCTACGGTTGAAGGGACCAACGACGCCGACGGCGCACGCCCGGTGGCGCAAGTGCCGATGAAAATCGCGCCGACTACTATCATGGTGGACGATGGCGGCGTCTTTGATGTCGTTTCCTTGTCGGGGCACCGTCGTTGCAGTTTGCATCATCAGGCTCGGGATGCTCCGGGGGAAACCCTAGATCTGGGTCTCCCGGATTGGACGATGATGGCGTTCTCTGTATCGCTTTCCCTCCTAGGGGCATCGTTTTGGAGCAAGTGATGAATGGAGGTGGCAAGAGGAGGAGCGGTGTTACATCTACCGCAAGGCCGACGGCGGATCACGGCGCTGCGGAGTTTCGACGATGGGCGCGCATGGATGAACACGCGCAGGATGATGGCGTTGTCTGGCGTTGTGATGGCGTCGACGGCAGGCCTGGCAAGGTTGATGTAGCAGTACAACACTGAAGATGGATTGGTGGCAGGTGGCTGCGGCGGCCTCATACCCGGGAGGCGTCCTGGTTGAGGAGTGCGCCGGACTGGTGGGTGCCCACCCGGCAGGCGTCCTGGTTGGGACCTCAGATCTTAGATGTTAGGTTTGGCTGCGAGGTTTGTTTGGTATTAGCTCAGACTATCAGCATCCCTTCATCAACTGGATAGGAGTAGCGACACATGTTGCCTAGACGGTGGCTTTAGTCTTACTATTGTATGACTTTGTAAGGTCGTGTGTGAATAATTAATAAAGTGGCTGCATGCATCGTCCAGATGCAGAGGCCGGGGGTCCTTCTCCTTTTCTAAAAAAACAAATTGTTACATCGAGATTAAGAACCCTTCTTGCACTTGTTGTTATAGAAACAACTTTCAATTACAAACCTAAAAATTTCCAAGATTAAGAAACGATCCTAGACCTTCACTAGTCCAAATCGTCTGGTTGAAAACATAATTCATAGTTTCATACTATCATATAATTGGTCCATCAACCAGATGACACCATTCCAAAACATGCTGCTAGTTAAAATAGACAAAGGGGTTACCACTATCTGTGAAAAGCTCAGAGAGGAACTTCTCACATGCTACAATTATACATTAAGTTCATCATTAGTCACATATCGTAACAAGGGTAGTGAGGACGAGCAGCATCAATTTGTGCAATCAGTTCAAGAGAGAATTATCATTTCACACTGATCCCAGCTTTACATGAGGCTTGGAAAAAAGACTCACAATTGAAAACAAAATTAGTAATAAATATGGACTAAGGGAGAATTTCACAAATACAACAGAACGTTCAGGTAAATCATTCGTAAGCTGGTCCAAGCAATCATAGTATCATAATCAAAAACATATATGCACCTAGCTTATTAACTTGCAGTTTTAACTTTTTAGGCATAAGCTGTCCTTATATCCGTCGACAGTCTCATTCTCAGCACAAAGCTCTTGTTTTCTCATGCACAAAAGGCAGACAGCCAAACAGGGCCAGGTTTTCATTAAAGCCATCAAGCAGATCACAGAACTGCAGATAACATTATCATCTACCACTACTGCTAATTTCGCTCAGAATTAACTCTCCTTTGTCCACCCCCTAATTCCAACCTCTGGATCAGGTCATTGGTCCTTCCGTCGCTGCAGGAAGAAAACCAGCTTTGTATCAGTAGGATGCGAGTATATTCGGTTCTGAGACACAACCAGATGAATTGTATGAACTTCACTACGCCATGTGGGCAGCGCTAAACGTACTGAGATGGCCGCACCCATCAAGAGGTGCCGACCGATGCTTAATGTCTGCAAGCGTTGCCTCGTAGATAGTCATGTCCCTCCTTTGCCAGCCTTGGAGCACTCATCCATCCTCCCTCCCTCCCTCTCTCCCCGGACGCGTAAATGTCGGTTTCACCACATGGACAGACTATGATGAACGGCCCAAGGAACCAAAGTTAATCTAAAGGCTAAGAAGATCAGCTTATAGCTGATACCGAAGTCTAGCAACAAACCTGTACCGAGTAAAGTCACGCCTCAGGTTTTTGAGGGGCTTCCATCCCTCAAGGCCCCAAGGGCCTGCGCTGCTGCAATCTCTTCCTTCAGAGAATCAATTACTTTTTGCAACACAACCATTTCAGCTTCTCGAGCAGCAGAAGCCTCCTCAATCATTTCCCTCGTCCCAACTTCACGCCTTGGTAGGTAAGCTCCTTGATCCGCATTCGTTCCAGTTGCATCTCTTTCCTGAGCATCTTTCACCGGCCCAATTGGTCTAAGGTAGTAAAGTGTTTTAGTTGAAACCCTCTTGACCAATTCAGGATTTGCATCCACTGGATTGCTAGAATACGTCTTATTGTTTCCTACAAAAAATTTAAAGATAAAAGGAAGGAAGGCTGCATTAGCACTAGTTTGTTGTGATGTTTAATTTGCCTTTTGTCTGGATTGAAAGATAGAACTGCCACTCCATGAATTCTCATACCTGAGCCCTTCCTGTTGACCACTAAGCAATCTTCCATAAGGGTATCTGATTGTTGGTTTGATGCTGATGCATCTTCATTAGCTTTTTCATTACCTTCCCTCGGCATTGCACCCACCTCACGTTCCTTGCCCACTGATTCGTCAAACTCTTCATCACTGATCAAAACGATGTCTTCAAGACTTGGCTGCACATGACCTACAGTTGCACCCACCTCATGTTCCTTGCCCACTGATTCGTCAAACTCTTCATCAAGCATCACCACGATGTCTTCAAGACTTGGCTGCACATGACCCACAGTTGCCCCAATAGCTTTTCTGTTGGTTGTGCTTACTGCTCGCTTGACAAGGTGACGGGGAGCTACTTCACCATGTTCTGAGCTGCTATTCTGTTTAGCGAAGACATCAGGTGAAGCTTGTTTCACATTTTTAGTTTGTGTGCCCTTTCTTACACATCTCAGGGTCGAATCATCCGCAATTTGTGCTGACTCGGCAACTTCCGCAAGATGTTCCAGGGTACCCTGAATGGTGTCCAGGCCATTAAGTTTTTCAACAGGAGGAATATCAGTCTGTGGAACCTCGACAGTATTTAATCTCGAAAAAAATACCTCGAAAGTATCTGGCCGAGACATCCCTGGGAGCACATGCTGCTTCTTGCCCGAATTATCATCATGAAGCACCTCCATGTTTTTGTCCCTTGGGCCAACCAAAACAGGGAATTCCTTCGAATTTACATTGTTATCAATGGCAGTATCACACCCAGAAGCGTATGGCCTCCACCATCGTGTGTACTCAAACGTCACAGCCAGAGTATACTGTGGAACGATGAAGGCGAAATTGCTAGGCTCCATGAAGTATGTTCCCCAAGCAATCTTCCAGTCCGAGTTAACACGGGCAACAGATCCAGGCACGTCCTGATCGAAGCCAAGCTGCCTTGCAACACGATGAGGATTGTACTGCTCAATGCAGCGCATGCCTACAAGCTCGCAAGCACGCAGACACTGCGCAAACGATAGCAGTTGTAGGCTTCTTGCCATGTCCCGGCCATGAACCCAAGAGCAGCTCTTCTTGGGAGACGGAGCAAAGCTGAAGCTTCCATAGGGCCTCCACTCAAACTCCATTGGCAACATGAGCACTCTGTGGAGATTTATGGGGTCAGTTACCTTGTGGACTTGATGCCACCGGGCGGCCCAAGGCTGGTGACGAGCGACGGGGTCGAGAGTGGTCGCCATTTCAGGGCGAAGCTCCGGGAACCTGGCCAAGACCCAGAGCTGCAGGATGTGCAGCGGCGCCCACCCCACGAACGGCTGGTATCTCTTGCCCGAATTGATGTAGCGGTTCAGCGCCGAGAGGTCGCTGTAGATGCTGGCGAGAGCGGCGGGTCCGAGCGCCACGCACCCGCCGCGCGCCAGCCGGGCGGCCACGGGGAGCACCTCCGCCCGGACCACGTCGAACGGCGGCGCCGGCAGCACGAAGAGCGACAGCCACATGGCCAGGAACGCGCCGTGCTCCAGTAACCCGGTGGCGCCGCCGTCGCCCGCGGCGGGCCCCTCTCCCGCCGGGGGCTCGAGGAACGGCATCGCCCACGCGGAGTGGTCCGGTCTCTGGCTGTCGCTCCGGTAGAGCGCGCGGCGAACGGCCTCGAGCGCCTCCACGTCCTCCCGGAGCGCGCCCTTCGGCGGCGCGCGCACGGGCCTGCCGAGCAAGGGCAGCCCCCCGAGCACGGCCACGTCCTCCAGCGTCACCGTCGCCTCGCCCCAGGGGAACACGAACGTGTTGGTCTCGGCGGACCAGATGGCGGCGAGCTGGAGCATCGCGCGCTCGTCGCGCCGCACCCGACAGGTGGTCGCGAGGATGGCGTCCTGGATCCCAATCTTCCGCCACAGGGGCTCGCACCGCGGGCGGAGCTTGGCCACCCACCGCGTCCACAGATTTGGAGCTTCCGCCCAGCCCTTGAACTCGACCTGGAGCCCGTCGGTGAGAATAGGGCCAGCGTTGCGGGGCGGAGGGGGTAGAGGGGGGCGCTGGCCGGCGCCCGCGCGGGGGTGGAGGAAGTGGGCCAGTCGAACGGTGGGGGTTGACGTATCGGCGCCGCTGGAGATGACTGGGACAGCGGACTCTTGGACAAGGAGCTGCTCGCCGCCGGCCATGGCGGTGGCCGGTGGGGTTGGTGGTCCGGTCTGGGGTTCTGGGCTTTGAGGACGGAGCAGGTGCGCACTCATATCGCCCCTGATTAAGGCCTCTTAGTTTTTTTTTTTTTGCCTAAAAAGGTCATAAATGTTTTTTACAGGATTTTTGGCGGTTCGAATACTCTTTTAACATTTTTTTGCATGGTCATATGTGTCTCATTCATGTCATAAAGATTAAAATATAAGTCACATAAAGACTGACATGACAAAACTAAGAAGATAGCACAACATTTCTGAGCTTGACACCAACGCCCGTCACCTGCCTACGGCATCACCATAGCAGCCACCGGAAAAAATAAATGACGGATCACCTTCTCAGCCGAGCTCAATGCAGCTCCGCTTTGCGGACCTCCAAGGTGGTTCGCCAAAGGCGAAACCATTGTCGTTTGAACGAATCAGACCGGGGCAACATCCCAGACACGCCATCGAACTCCAGATCTGACACCCTCACATGACTAAGACGTCGGAGAAGGAAACCATACATGCCGTCCACAAACCACGAGCCTAGCACACGTTTCGTCTTCCAGATGTCGTCGATGCAGACCACAATCTGCATCCGCTCCTCGACTACCTCCCAAGCTCCACATCGACGTTGGAGCAGACGCCCTCGCAACGACGGAGCCCTAGGACACATGTCCATCACAAGGATGCCGCCGCCGTCATGACATCCCTACTTGAACAGACTGGTTCTCAGATCCTTCACCAACCATAGAGACGATCGCCTCGCCGGAGAAGAATCCGAAACTTCTTTATTCAGCATTGTCATCGTCGTCGCCGTCGAAGCCAAGACGTCGAACAATCCAAAACCCTAAACTTTTTGGACCCTAAAACCTAAAGTTATAAACGATCCACACGCGACCCCCCTCACCACCGAGGACCAAAAGGTCGCCGGTGGAGGAGAGCCGCCGGAAGATGGCGCAGGAAGGAACGGCTCTTCTGTGGCGGCGGCTAGGTTTCTTGCTACAGGAGGAAAACCCCCGAATCTCTTTTGACATCCTTAAAAAACTTTTTTGACCTGTAGCACCGGATCATATAAAAATCTACTGTATAGTCCGTATTTTACTGAGGAATCATTTGTACATTCGATAGAAAAATTATAATTTTTGAGAAGCGTCCTGGGGCTTGCTGGTGGACAGGACAGATGATGTGTCGCCACTCGCCAGCCCGGGCTCCCTTGCACAGTTCTAGTAGCGTCGGGTCCGTTTGGTTTAGGGTCTGTGACCGACGGAGCCGCAATAAAAAATCAGCGAGCCGCCCGCAAAGATTTGGCTGCATCGCCGTCAGTCATCATCACCAAAATATTGGCCCGCCCAACCGACCCCGAACGCCCCAGTGCAATTCTCGCTAATTCACGGGGTGGGGGCTGGAAAACTCTGGCCAGATAATTTGGCAGCGCGGCTCACGTCCCGCTCTTTACGTGGGCCTCCTTCGGTGTTTGTTCAAAAAAGGTTTCCAGTGCAGCCCATTAATCTCGCACAAGGAACGCTGTTTTTTTTAAGATAGTAACGTCTCTATGAACGCACACTCAATTTTTATGATGAGTATCTCTAAAAAAAACTAATCCGTCAAATCATCTTAGCATTGAGTCTCTTACCACGTAATCCGAATGCCTGAAATAAATCCAAAAATATGCTAGTAGCGGTGTTAAATTTAGGATTTGAATTCTGATGAACTGAGAGAATAACATTATTTATCTAATCATTCAACCATAAGTTGTTGTGTCGCGTGTTCACTGCGGAAAGCAAAAGCATCACGTACATGCGGCTGTTTTTTTAACCTTTTTTTATGCTGGGTTAGTTCCCTATAAAATAAACTTATTAGTACTTCTTTTCTAAAACAAAAACTCCAACATTGAGTTCTAC